GCTAGAAACATATTATTTCGAACTAGAATTCAAAATTTGAAAAGGGGTCCAATAATTATATTATTTTCAAAACTGGACCCAAAATGGAAAGAAAAGTCTAGCTCGTAATTGAGTGTGACTTTTTTTTCCGAGATTGATGAAGATAAGTTGTAATTTGCAACTTATTTCAACAAAGATATGAAAATGTGAGCAAACTTTCGTATATCTGATTTTGTTTATGTTTTTCTGTTTGTCCTCATTGTCATATATTGCTAATTGAAAGTGAATTTCTTTCAATTAAATAAGCACCGTAGTTTGAAAATGAATGTTTATCAAACCTAGGTTTGGTGAAGTGTTAGAATAATTTATAAATCATTCGTATCGCTTTCCAAAATATGGTCTCATTTTAAAATGAAAGTAAAGGTGAGACCTATATTTTTAATTTGAAGCCCCCAAGTGTAGACTTAGGTGTCTACATAAGTAACCCCTAATTTCAAGTAGTACACCCTAATTTCAAGTAACTCGTATTATAAAACGAAAATACTCTTGTAGGGAATATTTCAAGCGTTAATCCCCTAGCCTGAACCCCACTGTGATCATACACTAAAGTACGGTGGCGTCCAAAGGGGAAGAAGATAGAGAAAAAGAGTCGCCAACAAGTTTTAGGAACTTGTAAACCGTTCACGAGGTGAAGGTTACACCCCTTAACGATCCAAGAGATCGTCAACTCCATAAGGTCTTGAACCAAATAGGGTTCGGGGATGAAGGTACAAATCCAACCTAAAAGAAATTGAATCTGCCTTAATAATAGGCCTCTACTTTATTCTGATCGTATTCATGTGCGCTTTCTGACTAACATGCAATCAATAGGATTACCCTAAACCTGTTTATCTATGTTGGTGGAATATTAATGCAAAAATAAATCTGTTATTGGCGATCACTTGAATTATAATCAAATTAACCCTAAACAAGATTATTATTTATCTCATTAAGCGTGATTACAAGTACTAATTCCCTTTAAGCATGCATAAAAGGTGTGATCAAGCAATAATAATAAATATCAAGCAACATAATAATAATAATAATAATAATAATAATCATAATAATAATAATTCTAATAATCATCATCATAAAATTATAATCATAATTAAAATAATCATGTTAAAGCATAAGAATAGCAAGATCATAGGCATGATACTAACAAGATTAATAACAAACCCTAGCATGTCACTAAACAATAAAAATCAAATATTAACCCTAACATGATAATAACAATCATAAATATTAGGAAAAACATAAAAGACATCATACTTTTAATCATACTTGGTATTAAAGTTACCCTAGACATGATACAAGGAACTTATTGTTGTCACCCTAAACATTAAACTAAGAAAAACATCCTAACATGATACTAGGAATCAAAATAACAATCTAAACATGATTTTTATATCATAATATCAATTAAACCATTAAAGTACTTACTTGGATGCCTCGTACTTCTTTCTTATAACAAAATACACACGTTAGTAACTTCAAGGAAAATAATAAACAAAAATTAAATTAAATAATTGAAATAAAGATTTGGGACCAAACCCTCAGAAATTAAACCTTTCACGTCTAGGGCGAAGGCAACTTCGAATATGGCTAGGTGTTTCTAAATCTTGCGAATGCAGAATTTTTATATTTGTGAAAAGGTTAGTTTAGAAAAAAGAGAGAAAATAATCAAGAAAATCTTGATGAGAGTTGGTAAATGAAAACGGAGTTTTTAGAAGACTATTTATAGAAAAAATAAGCCAAAAAGATAAAACATCAAAAACAGAGTTCTGACGCGTAAAACCAAATTAGCGCCAAACGCTGACCTTAGTGCCAGGCGCTAAGGCTAGCGCCAGGCGCCAAGCGTAGCGTCAGGCGCTACAGCTGGCGTTTGGCGCTGACTAAGAAATTGACGCGTTTTCTTAAAATCAGATAGAAATTGCCATACAGGAGGATAAAATCGTATTTTCCTCAAAAACGTTCTTTGATTTTAATTAAAACTCTGAAAAGTCAACAAAAGTCAATTTATCACTGCTAATTGAATTAGGAATGAAAAGAACCTTCTAGAAGAATCTAGAAGACTAAAACTATTCCTAATTGCGTTAGGAATGATAAATCCATATTAGGCCCTCCTCTAGATCATTGGGCCGCATATAAGGCTCAAACCAGGCCCAATTCAGTAATTTGGCCATAACTTCCTCATTATTCATCGGAATTGGGCTTATAATATTTCGTTGGAAAGCTCTTTTCAAGCCTCATCCAACTACACTATTATTGGACCCATGTCATGGACCAACCAAACTGGATTGGTTGTTTTCTTAAAATAGGTTTGTAAAAACAGAGAGAAGAGAAAAGAAATTAAAACTATCCGCAACATTAAACTTTCCACACTTTCACTTCATTCGATTATGATTCGACGTGAAAGGTACTCATCACTGGGCTTGGTTTTGGGGAGACACAAATGGGTGTCTACAACTCTCGCATTCCACCTTTGGGAAAACTATATTCTTCCTCAGAAAATATCATTCAACCCCACCCCTATCCTATCTCCCTTTACATATCAAATAGAGGAATATGTGAAAAAAAAAATTCATAGAAAATAATTTTCCTCCAAATACCAACCAAACACAAACAAAGCAAAACAAATGTACACAATTTTTTCTTACAAATATTTCACAAAAGACTCAAGAAAGTGTAACTTATGTTCAACCTTAATTCTTTAATTGAATCAACTGTTTAAAAAGAAAGAAATTAAAATCAAATACTTAGTTACAACTTCTTCTCATAATCATAATAAAAAAAAACGTTTAATCATAAAACGATCTTTTCTTTCTCTTGGAATTTACGATATTAAATTTCCCTATCTTCAACAATTGCAAGAACAATGTAGAGAATTTAGAGGAGAAAGAATATAAGAAAATTACTAGTGAAGATAGAATCAAAGAAAATTGCAAGAGGAGATAGAACTAAGAGAGAAAAAAATAAAAGAAAACTGGAGCAAAAATTGCAAGAGGGGAAAGAACAAAGAAAGTGGAAAGTTCAAATAAAACGGTTGAAATTCTAAACATAACGGCATATCTAATTGGATATGTTATTTATTATTTGGGGTTCGCAATTTATTAGGCCTAAATAGCCACGTGCCTTACACCATGTAAGCAACCACATACAAAAAATTGTGTGAAGTAAATATATAAAAACAGAGTTTATAAATATCAAACAAAAATCATACACCCTTACATATGTTAAAATTTTTAAGAAAAAATGAGAATTTAATAATATGAAAAGAAAAACTTCTTTATTTCAATGAATTTATCAAAGGCACTTTTAAATAGATTTAAGCAAATAACAAACTCAACAAACCCAAGATTGGAATTAACACTAATTAGAAGTGGACTATTTCACGATTCCTTAACTAAGTAGCTAGATAGAAATATATCAATTGTTACTTACACAAAGCAAACAACCTATTTATTACTACTAGAAAATAGAATACAACCATAATAACTTTGAATTACTATTAACAGTTCGTATGGAATAAATTGAAATAATAGTCTCAACATTAACTACCCATCTACCCTAATATATATTTTCATTATAATTTTTTTATACTTCTTACTAATATACAATTGCAAACATTACTGATTAAAATAGTGCATTGACACATGTAAGTAATTTAAAATGGAGAAAATAGTAATTTTGAAAAATTGAAATATTGGATAAACATGACCGCATGTGGTTAAAATTTGACTTTTTAGTTAATGAATGATTTTTAATGGTTATCCATGATACAGTGTTTGATTAGTAGTGTATAAATTATTATCTAGTTCGAGGCACAGTTTTCACTTTTCAAATTAGGGTACTTATATATTATGTTTTTGACAAAACTTATATATTATGTTATATACTTGTATTAACCTAAAGAGATAGAGAGCTGCAAAGGTGAGTGAAAGGGCAAGGTTTATATACACAATTGAGGTATGTTTTAGAAAATCATTGCACTTTTTCGATTTTTTGTTCCAAAGGATGAAACCACTTGGAGTTTCTACATGTATTATTGATAGTAGATATGTAAACATGCATCTGATTATAGAAAATATCTACTTTTACATGCATATATTCCTTATAATTAGGGAAAGATCTAGAATAATGACACAAGATATAAACACATAAAATGAGTTACACAAAGTATGTATGTATGTATTATCATTGGACACAATTCACACTAATATAACACATGGTAGGAAATGAAGAAAGAAACAATTACAATGTAAATATTGAAGCAACTGAACTATTACGGAATAAAGATGGAAACAACACAAATTTAAACATTGAAAAAAAAGCCAAAAAAGCGCAATGATACCAAATGAACTAAGCTAGTCTATACTATATATTAAAAGACATTTATAAAATTGTGTATGTGTCACGTGTTTCTTTTCTTACACCTGTAAGGCGCCACATCATCATTCAACAGCCAGATTTGAACCCATAACGTCATTGAATGAAAACCAAATGCATTACCATCTTAGCTAGAATTAATTCATGTTTTATTAATCCAAATTTTATATATAAATACATACATGTATTAGAATGTAGAATAAAAACCAAAAAAATCCAAAATAAATTATTAATGTCAATGTATTCTAATTTACCCATGTTAAATAAATTAATAAGTCTTTTAAAGCTTCTAATATAAAAATAAAATTATACAAATTATCAATCGGGGCAAAGCCCGGGTCACACACTAGTTTTTGCATTAATTATTGATTCAACATTTTGTTGTTCTTTAGGGAGTTTAGTCCAATGTGTTTATATATATATATATATATATATATATATATATATATATATATATATATATATATATATATATATATATATATATATATATATATATATATATATAAAAGGTTTGTCCTTAGCCTCCCCCATTCATTTTTTTTCAATATAATTATCATATATTTCTAAATTCTATGTACGTTGTATTGCTATATTACACAATCGTAACAATATCAACTACTTCCTCTTTTCCTAAATTACATTCCTCTTTCTAGCATTTATTCCTCACATAATAGAGAGAAAGAGGAATGTAATTTATGGACGGGGGGAATAGCTAATAAGCTCATTTACAACAAGGCAATTAGTAATCACCAACAAAAACATCAACTATCATTTTCATCATTACCATAAGTCAATAATTAAACTCTTGAAAAACCCCCTTATAATATTCAAACACCAATCTCTAGACAATTACAAACATCCTTTTCATTAACACATACTCAACTTACATAACTCTATGTGTTAAATTAATGTTAAACAACCATCCATTTAAAAAAAAAAAAAAAAAAAAAAGAAATATTATGAAATAATAGAAGCAGTACTATAACATAGAATTAGGCCATAGACCTAGACACACTAGGGTAAGGCCTTGTCACTCTCATTCCCTTCCTAATGGACCCTAACCCAAATGACACTTATTTAAAACACACCCTTTTACTTCTTCTCCCCTTCATTTCCCCTTTTTAAAGTCACGAGACCCACCCTTTATGTCTCTTCTTGCCATCAATTTTATGTGAGTGAGAAAATGAGTATTCAGCTGACTGCCAGAGTGAACTGAAAGAAATTTTACAAAATCTTTCAATTATTTTTTTAATTTTTTCTTCTTCATTCACTACCTTCAAACTACAACTACAAGTTAGTTTCAAACTCCAAGTTTATTAGTCACTCAATTCACTCTTAGCTTCTTTCTTCGTTTACTACTACTACTGTTCCCATCCATGTACGCGTACTTTCTTTTCTTATCTTTATTATTATCGTACGTTTTGATTACTTGTATACAACGAGTGTATTGTATATAGTCAATCAATAGTGTTCATCCCGTTCGAGTTAATTAAATTATAATTTTGGTTGTCTAATTTGTGTGTTTTTTATGGTGGGGTGGTGTAGGAGGCCAGAGGGGAGCCCATTGGACCTAAATTATTTGCCGGAGGATTTCACTAGAGATGGCAAACAATTGTATGAAGACACTTCTACTTCTGGTAATTTCAATTATTTCCCTCCTAACCCTTCCCCACTTTTATGCTATGTCATTTATTCTTTTTTTTTTTTTTTTTTTTTTGAAACCTTTTTCATTTACATATGGATGACATAGCATTGATTTCACACTATACTTATATTAGTTATCCAAAAAAAAAGAGCTTTAATTAATATACATGAGAATTTCTTAAAAATGAAAGAGAAAAACTCATTTTACTATTTTAGTGAAAATATGATCTTGGGTAAGTAAAAGATGAATATACTATTCTTAATTAAAAATTTCCACATTTTTGTATAAATTTTGTTTGCATATTACAAGAATTAGGGTTTAGGTTTTGCTTTTGTTGTGTGTGTGTAAATTTTGTGTCATTACTCATTACATTTTTTTTTGACAAGCATTACATTTTATTATTGTAAAACATTTGATATGTTTATAATGATTTTCCAAAAGTGGATTAATTTGATTTGGGTGTTTTGTAATTTATTTCTAATTATTTTAAAAATGTTGCAGGGCATAAGAAAAAGAAGAACAAAGATGAAAGTGGGAAGGTGTATGAGTGTAGGTTTTGCTCCCTCAAGTTCTGCAAATCTCAAGCCCTTGGTGGTCACATGAACCGCCACCGCCAAGGCATGTTTCTTCTCCCTCGCTCTAATACTTCTTCCACTAAAATTAATTATCCTAACTAATTATGTGTTTTAATTTCCTATTAACTTTTTGTACCAAAGGTAAAATCTTCTTTTTGAAATAATAACCCCTAGGTTATAGTCTTTCATTCATGCTAAATTGCTAATACAATAATCCGTGGCTATTACGCCCCCCACTCGGCAATAATGTTGATGCCGAATCATAATTAATTAATATAAAATCGTTTTTATTTTAAGTTTACAAATTGAGTAGTATTTATAACAACAACAAAAAATAGCAATTCTTTTTATTTCTATTTTTTTGGTGTTTAAAGAATCAGAATGGAGATGAGAATTAATCCCAAGATCACCTGAGATCAGGGGAGGAGCACTAATCATTTGAATCATCCCTCACTTTTTTTTTTTTTCTTTTTCTATCTTTAATTTTATTGTTTTTCTTATTTGGACAGTGAAATAGAAAGTCTTTATAGACAGAATTAGTAAATAAAAACTAGTCGTAATAGGGAGCGTTGATTTAATTGATACACCACGAATCCCTAGAATAAGAGGCGTTGATCTGATTGACAATTGATTAAATGAATTAAAAAAACAATAAGATAGAAAGATACTCCTACATAGTGGTAGATATTAGGGTAAGCCGGCGATGAACAGATTCTAGAGTAGTCCAGAATCAGAAGAAGGCAGAGAGAGAGGCGTAGTCATATCAAAAACTTTCCCTTCTTGTAAACCTCTGAAATTCTAGCACACTTACTAGTAATAACAACAACTACTGTTTTTCTTACACTTTTTATGCTTGTCTCCTTTGATTTGATTGATCTTTCTTTTTTTTAACATTTATTACTATTATAAATTATTTATTTATGTCTTATTACAAGTATTAATTAAATAATTATTAGGCTTTATATGATAGATAGGTACTCTGATAATCTAAAGTAGCTGCTAATAATGTTGGTGTTGTTGGGTGCAGAGAGAGAGACAGAAACGCTAAACAAGGCTCGGCAACTGGTGTATAGCTCTGATAACGCTCCCCTTCCGGTTCCTCACCATCCTCACACCCACTTAGGGTAATTTTTTCCTTTTTTTCTATTTCCAACATCACTTAATATTATATTCGATTGTCAAAAGAGATATTGATAGTAAATGCAATGGAAAGTTTGATAAAAATGAAATGAGTATTTATCTTTGGATAAAATGTTATGAAGAAGCATACACATATACGAGGTGGTATTATATATAGTCGAAATATTTGAAAATTATACTTTCTCTATTTTTTTTATAGTTGTAACATTACTTCTCTTTTCACGTTTTTTGATGCATGACTTTAATCACTAATAGCTTTAATTATTAAAGCGTAAAAATTATAAACATTTGATATTAAAATAATATAAATCGAAACGAATCTAACAAGATTACATATGCCTATATTTTTGCTTACGTATAAATCATCAAAGCTAGTCAAAGTGAACCACGTAAAATAGTGTAAAAGTCGAACTGATGCACCTATATATAAACGGAGGAAATATATGGTAAATGTTATAATAATCGATGGCTATATTAATGACATGTTTGAGGATTATTTATGTTACATGTATAAAGTAATATTTACTACAATTCTACAAAGCAATTTGTGATGATTTAATGATATAATATGTATATACTAAAGTATACAGCTAGTATTTATATGCTTCTATTCTTTACAGCACTTACTATAAGGTAACATATTTTATTAATCTGTTGCATCTTTATAACAATATTATTAAGCATTAATTTTCTCTTAGTTCTTAATTAGAAATTGATGTAACACTATATACTACATATATTTTCTCAATCATGCAAGCTAACTTCAGGGGTTTATTTCAAATATAACATTATATGATTTTGGAAAATTTGTCAATACCACCGCAAGTTAATACTACTTTGTAAATTACTACCGCAAATTAAAAAAATTGTGAATTACTACCGCAAATTTTTTTAAGATGTTGCGATTGCTACCAAACCCCCATTAAACCCAACTATGACGTCATTATATTACTTTAACCCATGGTTAAAGCCCTTAACCATGACGTCATTATATCCTAACCCATTTTCTTTTTTGGGGGGCTGGTTAAAGCCCTTAACCATGGTCAAACACGGGTTAAAGGGATATAATGACGTCATAGTTGGGTTTAATGGGGGTTTGGTAGTAATCGCAACATCTTAAAAAATTTTACGGTAGTAATTCACAACTTTTAAAATTTGCGGTAGTAATTTACAAAGTGGTATTAACTTACGGTAATAATTGACAAATTATCCTATGATTTTATCTAACAAAATCAAGACCGACCAAAAATAGACACAAAATCTAAGCTAAGTGGTACGGAGTAATATTTTACATGTCATCTAGTGACACAAATGTAACCTGGCATTTCTTAACAAAATTAAACTTACAATGATTAATTTATGTTCACTTTTTTGAATAGGTCTTATGTGTCACCAAGTGCAATGTATCACCAACCACCACCACCTCCACCACAACAAGTCTACCCAACAAGACCAATAATGCTCTCCGGTAGCGCGTCATCGACAATGCTACAACCACCACAACAATATCATCACCATCAGCAACAACCATGCTTGTACACCACAACGCCACCGCCACGTATACTTCCATCAGGGGACTATTACATGGCACACGGTCATGCACTCACCGGATCATCCCCTACAAACTACACTTGCATCGGAGCACCAGTAAGCATACCAGGATTCACCGGACCACCAGGCGGGCGCGACGGTCTAGACCAAGAAGATGAATTAACAAGTCCATATTAATTAAAAATTAACCATGCATTTTAATATAACCCTCTTAATTAAGATTAGTGAGGGCCATGCAAAAAAAGGGGTTTGATAAATGACAGTTTTTTTAATGATAAAAAAATATAAGGGTAGGTTTTGGAAGTATTGGAAAAAAGTAGGGTTGAAATCACAAAGAGTTGCAGTGTCTCTCTTTCAGAAGAGGAGCAGTAAACAGAAGGAGGGCAGAGGAGAGAGAATAAGGGATAGTTTGTTTGGTAGGGAATTGGAGGTTTATGGAAAGGAGGGAATTGAACTCAACTGAAACAAAACATAAAGAAACTAGAGTTTGTGTTATTGCAGGTAAGCAACCAGTTGGATATGAACTGAATGTTTCCTATTCTAACTCCTCTTCTTCCTTTCTTGTTACCTACTGTTTCTCTTATTATACTTTTTTTTTTCACTCTCTCATTTATTATTATTTTTTTTGTTTTGCATGGCTATTTTAGGAGATAATTATTGCTCTATTTTTTGCTTTATTCACCACAAGTATTGCTAAAGTGTGTGATTCAATCCCATTTGCATCATTATGGATTATCCTCTAATTGATTTCAGAGTTTCACATTCGTTTTCAAATCCTAGGTAGGGAGCCAAAATGAATTAATGAATGAATGTAACAAGGTAACCAAACTTTCGTCTACGGGAACATTTTTTAAACTATTCAAACACTTATTTAAATTACATTTTTCTCAAAAAAAGAATAATAAAATAAATAAAATAAAATTACTGATATTTGCCTAGGAAAGAATATCCTGAAGTATTGTTGGGTCTTGTTGAATTCATGTCTACAAATACATACCTTTAATATAGAGTTTAATGTTTTATAAACTTTTAATATATGAGTTTAATACATACCTTTAATCTTTAGATATTTAAGTTTATTAAGCATTAAAATGTAGGTACGTTTCTCCTTAATGTTGCAATATTAAAAAAAACAAAGGAAGTACTTTTTCTTCTAATTTTGCTAATAAAAGTTAAAACAATTTGAAAAAACACACACACCTTAACTAAGCTTGCATTGATCAAGTGATTACATTAAATAAATAGTGTGGTTGATTAAGGACTCTAATTGATAAATTTGATGTTTATTAATAATACTACTTCCTCTGTTCCTTTATTAGATGCTTACTTTTAGCATTTATTTTTCACATTATAGAGAGAAGTAGGCATCTAATTAAGGGATGGAGAGAGTACGTATGATTTAAATGAAGTTCATCACATGGATCACATTTTTATTACGGAGTAAACTCTAAACAATTAAAAGAATTTTGGCACGTTAAGATCAAATTAAATAAAACCAGAGCCGATTTGAAAATATAAATAGGAGTACTTTTTTTTTTTATTATTATTATTAGAAGAAAATGTTTTATTAATTAAATATAGTTAAACTACTCTTACAACCAATTCAAAAAAAATCTAAAAAGTCTAAATCTCAATTATCTACGGAGTACTAGATCAGATTTGACATCAAGTATTAACAGTTTTACTTAAGTTTGGTCCACCAATTTGGATTTGCACATACACTAAGCTATTTTTCGAGATAAAACAATTAGAATTACGTGTCATTGATACCATTATAAAAATGTGTCATGCTCTTTCTTTAATCTAAAAAAACGTGTCAGGGTAAGAATTTAATCATCTACTCCATAGCTTCTAAACAAAACTCTTCAAAATATGTGCTACTTGAATCTTACTTTTATTTTATTTTTTTTCCTTAATTTTTGAAAAATATTTTTATAGATATGCCAAGGATGAAGGATCGGAAAGGTGCACACCAAACAGAAACCCTTCATGGTAATGCATGTTTAATCTAACATTCATTTACAAGCCTTGCATCACCCAAAAAAAAAAAAAAAAAAAACTGATTTACAAGCTAGAGTATTTGAGAATAGGGAGAACGAGGATATTGTGTAAGATCTCCGCTTCTAAATTGATCATATAAGTGTTTGATCTCACAATCTTAACGCAATGATATGATATGATGAGATATTAATTACTACCTCCGTTAATTGTTATCTGCAACTTTAGAATTTTTTATATATCTCATAAATAATATTCTAAAGTTAATAAATTGAAATACTCCGTATTATTATATTTAGGGTGCGTTTGATTTGGTTTAAAATGTTTTCAAGGGAAGTGATTTTTTCACCTTTTTTATCCCTCATTTTTATTTATTATTTGGTTTGCATTGTGAAGAGCATTTTTATTTATTATTTGGTTTGCATTGTGAAGAGCGGGAAACAATTTTCTCAACTGAGGAAAATTAATCTCTTAATAATGAAAGGCTAATTCCGGTATAAAAGAAGGGAAACCGCATTTTACTCCCTCCTCCTTACCTCCTTCTCATCCATCATCACCAATACACTCTTAACTTTTCTTGTAAGGAAACAAGGAAAACAAAACTTATTTGCATTTATTTTCAACTCCTCTTTTAACTTTTCTTGTAAGGAACTATGGAAGCAAACAAATGAAAACTTATTCATTTGCAATTGTAAATAGTTTCCCATGAAACTATATTTTCCATGAAAAATCAACTTTCATCGAAAATGTTTTATTTTAAACCAAAGAGAGCCTTAATGAAACACAAGATTAAGATCGACTTTCCTATATGCTATTATTAGTATCTTCAGACTTTGCATGGTGTTGAATTACGTTTGTTTAATTTGTGCCGGAGGAGTTGTACGTATAGTATGTTTGATTAGTAGAAGTGTAAAATTTAACAATAATCACAAACAACTCATATCGAAATAATTAATAGGGCTTTTTAACTTGCTAGTTCAATTTGAACCCGAGAACGAAGTTTGAGTACTAAACAACCATTGTTCAAACCGAACCTGACTAGAACCCGAGTCAAACCGAGCCATCGAGCCCTTCCATTTGAAATAGAGACAATCATATCAATAATGTGTGTGGTTGCTAGGCAACAATAAATGCAGATATCAGGTTACAAATTGTGAACTAAAAGTGATAGAAGTGTTTAGCACTGCTAAATATCTCTCAGGCAAATACATATATATAAATATGGACCACCCTATATAGAGGATCCAAATCCGAGAACGAGAAGTGATACCTGATGAGAAAATAAGAGATAATAATGATATCATGGCAATCATGTATCACTCTTTGTGGCATTATGTTGTTTGTATTATATTGTTTTATGTACTATATCATTACATTTGAAAACAACAACTAATTTGGTGCAAAATCCTATGCAGATCCCAAATATTATGTCTCACTTATCATCATCATCACTCTTGTTTAGGTTGGTCAAACTAATTATTTTTAGACAAATTTGTACTTAATAGATTATTAAATTTTAGCTGACTTTTACTTTCTAATTATTGATGAGTGGTTTTCATAGAAATGCTAAAATTAAAAAATTACTGCTTATATGTGTTGGTATATACTTTTGTATCAATCGATTCTAACTTTTGATTTAAGGCCTCTAAGTCCAAGATCGATTATATACTCTATAAGTGTGTAAGCTAATAATTTAATTCCTCACACAAGATTCATGGTAGATTGATTAAAGATTTGTTTTCTGATAGAGAATATCCATAGAATATTCTCATCCTAGGTTTAGGATATATTAGTTGATATTATCTGACATTTTCTATCTACTTTCATAGCTATTCTTCACTAACAATAAAACCACTGTAAGTTTTAGCGGTTTTACTTTAATTAACCTTTAAAATCAGTAGGATTTATTTAATTAATTTGCTATTGATGTTAGCGGTTTTACATCAACTATCACATGACACGTAAGGTCAGTAGTGATTTATTTATGCAAGAAAATTATTGATCAAAGCTGGAGCTCCAGGCCACTGCCTCCTCAGCGATCATACGTACGTACGTGAAGGGATTTGAAGAGCACGATCAAACTACCCTAAGGGATCCTTTTTCGCGTTCTAAGTGAATATCCATTTCCACATGTTTGGTGCATTAACGATTCATGAATCAAATGATCTCAACAAAAATGAAGATCGAAAATATTATTTAAGACTTTTACTATGTATAATATCATTATGTTTGTTTATGTGAGATATATATATACAATTTGTCAAAAAGAGATATATATATATATATATATATGTACAAGTATGTCTCTAATATAATGTAAACCATAATTTAAGATGATTAAAATTTGAAGACGGGAACCATAGCACAAATTAGATCAAGTGGATGAGGAAGAGTAAACCCCTGTCAAAACATGCATAATTGAAGATGCATGAAAGTGACTGTTCATCTCAAAAAGACCAATATTGGTTCAAAACTGCAGATCACGCGGTCTACTCTACTTGGATGATTGTACATTTGTACTCCTCATTGTTATCAACTTCCATTAAAACACCCCAATTCAATTAACTTCACCCCCCTCTTTAATGTGTTTTTTTTTCTCCCGACGTGGCTATTTTACATCCTTGACACACCAAATAAATATAATAACAAGCCGCAATTTTGTTATAATAGCTTTCACACTCTTTCTCATTACTAATTTAATAATTATCAAAACATTCAAAAGAACTTTATATTATACTATGTATTAGTTTATCAAACATTTAGGACATGTTCTCTTCGGCTTAATTTCAGTTAAGTTTAGTTCAGTTTAGCTCAGTTCAGTTCCTATTTCCTTCTCTCATAAACAATTCAGTTCAGTTCAGTTTAGCTCAGTTCAATTCAGTAAATGAGAATAGGCCTTTAGTTCTTTTTACTCATTACATGCATTGATTAGCTGACAATTATTTGTAATTTATTACATAATTTTACACAACTAGCTAAGACAACAAGCTAGTTAGATTACTTAAAACATCTTGTTATATCAATCAGTTACAAGCTAATTATCAATAGGTGCGATTTTACCATAGACCTAATCATTGTATAAATGGTAGTAGTGCATGTTAGACATTGTTGTATCCAAAAAATAATTTTGTAACCCTTTTTTTCCCCTCACAATTCTCTTTAATGTTCAATTTGTGTTTTCAAGCTAGCTATTCTAACTGTGTTACTTGGCATGTGCCTTTGGTTAACACTTTGTATTGTATTAACTATCAAATAACTAATTCAACCAAAACTTAAATAGTTAGAGCTCATGATCAACTTTGAAAGTCTAACTGGCTAATACAAGAGGGGGGGTGAATTGTATTTGAGATGAAAACTAAAAACTTTTGCGGAATTTAACTAAATGAAATAATGACGAGAGAAGATATAGGCTTTTCTAAATTTCCACTATGTAATCAAACTCTTTACAAGTGAAGATTCAAACCCGTTAACAAGTTCCACAAATTAGGAACTTGTTCCTAACTCTCACAAAAGCCTTCAGCAGCGAAGCTTCCTTGACCTCACCTTACACAAACTCACAATCCCAAACCCCAAAGTGCTTCAATACAATCTGTAATTACAAATACCTATTACACTCAAGAATATATGAAGGAAAATAACTCTCTTTATGTTATTAGGTTGCTACTGTAATTTTTATGCTCAAGAGTTGTGTTTTGCTGAGATAGTTTGCATGAGTATTTATAGAGAAGGCTTAGTCATTAACCTCCACTATAATCACGTCCACATGCCAACACCCCACTAACAACTTGTGGAGTTATCTTGACAGATGGTGATCATGAAGGAGGTTTCCTAGCCTTATCTCACTAATACACTATCTCAACAACTTGATAAACATTAGCTTTGATAAAACCGTATAATCAGAGATTTTCACAACAAAGAAACTGCTTGTTAATTTTATCAAAAGTTTGTTTAAAAAGATTTTATTTTAAAAAGGATTTTATTTG